GCCGAGTCACAGAAACACGCTGAGTCACAGAATAATAGTCACTGAATAAAAAAGGGGCAGAACTTACAATAAGACAACAACTCAACCTGCAGTCATAAAATAGATCAAATAGAAAAATGATGAATAGAAAATCAGTTAAACGTTACAGTAGATAGAAAAACGTGTTTATTTTTTATATACATTCATATTTAAAAAGCATGTATGAATAATTTAATTGAGAAATAAATGAACTTTGGCAGAGATTTATGTCATAAAATATTGTCGTGTCTTAAACATAATATTTGATGTGGTCAGATAAATTTAAATCATAAATATTAGATTTTTAACATTTCTCTGCTTTCAGGCACTTTGGCTCGAGGTGCGTTTTAAACACAATCAATCTATAATTAAAGCATCATATAAATTATGAAGGTTTTGGCTTTAAAACTCTAATTTTCATTTATGATTGTTGTTCATGTTTTTGTTTTGACATGATGCCTTCAGGGTCCTTTTCTGCTTTATGTGTCAACGTGAAGTTATTTTTGTTGTTAATGCATTTATTTTTAGGCGTATTATTTCAGTTTTTCACGTATTTAATTACGCCTGTGCTTGTTGGTATTTTTGTCATGTTGGGGCCTCCATACAGCGGCTCAGAACCGCGCCGGTGAAAACTCCGAGTTTGTTTGGGGTCCTTGAAGGCAGCATCCACCTGCTGCTCGGATTCTTCGGTAAACAGCCCGTTAACTGTCGGTAACCTGCTGGTTAACGGTTAGTCATTCCTCCGTGTCTTCAGCCGTTTAACGCCACAAGTTAAGTCGTCAGCAGGCCGGTTTCCATGGAGACGGAGGACGAACTGACCCACCGGGGCTACCGAGCAGACCCAGCGGCGGTTCAAACCGGTTCCGAGTTACCGCTGACCGTGACGCTGCGTTGCTATGGCGACCGCCACGCTAACTGAGCTAAAGCTAACTAGCTGACCAGCTAACTAGCTGACCAGCTAACCAGCGAACCACCGGCAGCAGCAGCAGCAGGGCAGACGACTAACCAGCAGGTAAACCGTTTAACTGCTGCTAAAACCCTCACAGACCAGTGTGCACTAACTAGCTAGGGTTAGTTAGCCGCTGGTAACCAGAGTTTTAG